TCTATGGCCGACGCGTCCACTATTATCAACACCTATAGTACGCTGTGGTATGGACTCATAAAACGTGCCAATTTGAAGAAAGGTAATTTATAAATATATTTTTAAAAAGAAGTATTATTTTTAATGTTGTTTCAATTTTTAAGGCGAAAGCATTTTAATACATTCGGCGGCGGGAGGTATCGGACAGTCGGCTATTAATATCGCCAAACACTATGAGTGCGATATCTATGTGACGGTCGGGACGGAAGAGAAAAAGCAATTTCTGATGAAGGAGTATAACATACCGGAGAACCGGATAATGAACTCGAGGGACATTGTGTTCAAGAATAAAATAAGGGAATTAACGGACGGAAAGGGAGTCGATATTGTGATCAACTCGTTAGCCGGAGAGAAACTGGACGCCAGCTATGAGTGCCTGGCTAATTGTGGCAGATTCATCGAGATCGGCAAGTTTGACATGTTCCAGAATAGGAAACTGGGTATGTTTGACTTCCTGAGGGACATACAATTCATTGGTGTGGGTTTGGACGCCGCGTGTATGAAAAACCCAAACTTTTTTCCAGACTTTTACGTTTGGATGCATAAGAACTGTACGAATGGTTGCATTAAACCATACAATTATACCCTTTATAACGCCTCGGATGCGGATAAGGCCTTAAGATTCATGACAACCGGTAAACACATCGGGAAAGTAGTGCTGAAAATGAGAGACGAAGAGACAGACAAAAGACCCCCGAAGCTCATCAAACCAGCGCCTTATATACAGACAACTGTTAAAACATTTTTCAATCCCAACAAAGTCTATATAATAACTGGAGGTTTGGGTGGGTTTGGTCTGGAACTCATACCTTGGATGCTATATTTTGGTGCAAGGAAGTTTGTGGTGACCTCGAGGTCAGGGCTCACAACTGATTACCAGAAATATATATTCAATCGCTTTCAACGAGTTTATAAAGATTTTAAATTTTTCTCATCCGATTGGGTCGTGTCGACTGCCAATGGGTTTACTATTGAAGGCACACAACAACTCATAAAAGAAGCCCAAGAGTTGGGACCCATTGGAGGGGTATTTCATTTGGCGCTTGAATTGAATGACTGTTTGATAGAGAAGTTAACGTTTGATAAGTTTTGTTCGTCTATTGATACCAAACNGACTGTTTGATAGAGAAGTTAACGTTTGATAAGTTTTGTTCGTCTATTGATACCAAACATAAGATATTCACGAATTTGGATCAATTGACCCGAAAATTGGACTATAAATTGGATTATTTTGTCGTATTTTCATCGGTGGCCTGCGGTAAAGGAAATGGAGGTCAGTCTAACTACTCGTTCGGTAACTCCATGTGTGAACGTATTTGTGAACAACGCCGGAGGGATGACTTACACGGACTGGCCATACAATACGGACCCATCGGTGATGTGGGAGTGTTTGCAGACTCGGATCAGTTGCTGACAATGACATCGATTAGGAAACAGCGGATCAACTCGTGTTGCGATGTTTTGGACAAATTATTGTCAGTTAAACAACCGATAGTTACCTCATATGTAAGAAAATAATATTTTTTATTATTTTGAAATAAAACATAAACATGTTACTTTAATTTAGATAAAAGTGGACCAGCTCAAAACAGCCGGTGGATCCAAACGGAAAATGATTGCCGAACTATGGCGTGCTCTGGGTATTGATCCCGAGACCACCCCCAACCACCTAACCCTGGGTGAGATCGGCATGGAGTCCATGTTTGCCGTTGAGTTACAGCAGGAACTGGAGAGGGAGTGGAATATGAAAGTGACTGTCAATCAGGTCAAGAGTATTACGATCGGTATGTTAAAGGACTACGAGGCCGGCAATGTGGGCAATATTAAAGTGCACATCGAGGACATTAAAAGGTGCAAGGCCAAAATGCTGAAACAGAGGTTCGTGATGCCGACCGAAAAGTTCGAGCGCTTGAATACCGTGACAACTGGTCGACCCGTGTATATAATGCCGACCCTTAACATCAATTTTCAAGTGTTTGAAGAGTTGACACAAAAGTTGAACCGACCGGTGATTGGCCTGAATTGGACCCGGGATGTGAGCAAATTGACAACCCTTAAAGAGATTAGCAAATACTATGTGGACCTATTGAAGCACCTGGATCCAAAGGGCCCGTACGATGTGGTGGGCTATTTCGATACGTCCATTGTTTGCGCTAAAGTGCTGCTGAAGGGAATGGCAAATAAGGCGGTTATTGTGGACATCATTAGTGACCTGCGTTTCTGCGATGAACAGCTCACCGAAGACTTTATACTGGAGTTCATGTTGAGCTGTATGGCCGTTGACATACCCGACTCATTTAAGGACAAAATTCTGCGGGAATTCAAAAAGGAGCCGGATATCAACGCTAAGGTTAGGCTCATTGTCAATGAGGTCGTGGACTTCGCCGGCAAAGGACTACAGGCGCCCGATATGGAGGCGATATTTCACATAATGATAGCCCGGATTCGTATGCTATCGGAGTATAGACTCAATAAACGCAAGAAGTTTGCGAATAAACTAAAGCTCGCGATCGCAAAGAAATGGGCGAAAAGGACGGGGAAATTGGTTTTGATTAAACCGTTGAAGTTTGATGGCGTCGATGATATGGATGAGTTGCTGGAAAAGTCTCGCGATTTGTATTTCTTACCTGGCTCAAAGGTATGTTTTTTAGTTAAATTTGTTGGACTATAACACTAAAACATAAGAAACCATTATTAATAAAATGATAGTATTTTCAAAATTGGTCATAATGTATTTGTATTCATGTTGGTTAGTTAGAAAATATTGTTGAGTGAGCTTTCTCTACATCATTATTATATTAAATGTAAACATTTGCTAATAGGATGGACAGCATAATATTGAGATGGAGGCGGTCGACACTCCCAGCTCTATAGATGTGATGGCCGGGGATATAATCGCTAAGATAGAGGCAGCGCTCAAATAAATTCAATTTTTCACCTGGTATCAATTTGGTTTAATAAATTCACACTAAACAAAATTTACTTTTTGCATTATTAATATTAAAATTAATTTTTTGTAATTAATAATGTCAAATAGTTGTGTACTGTACATGTAATGTACAGGTATAATATTAAAACAATGTTAAAGTACTAATTTTGAATATTCATAACAAGTATTGATACATGTATATTTTATTTCCAAACAATGAATAAATCTTTTGATTCATAAATAATCCAACATAATGAGTTCGTTTTATTAAACCTGATACTATATAATTAACAAAAGGTAAATATTTGTAGATTTTTTTGGAGGTGAATGAGTGCGGCATTACATGTCAAAGTGTTGGGCAAACTTTTACAGGTTTTCTTACTGCAACCCTCGCACACAATCTTTGTATAATTATAGCCTATAATTTATAGGTATCACTTTAAATTTCAAAAACTCCAAATTTCATACTATTATTTAATCATTGAAAGAACCTTTTGCACTAAAATGTTTTGTAGCAAATTGTATGACTTTCTAGAATTATTTTCAATTATTTTTGTACTCAAATTTCAAGGAATGATAGATATGTAAGGTAATACAAATATAATTTTACAAACAATAAAATTCATAATACTGTACTGAATTGAATTATAGTATGGAAATACTATATTTTGTTTTATAGTCATTTAATTGAAAAAAATAAAAAAAGGTTAGCCAATTTAATTAATCTGTAGGTTTTTAAAAATAACTTGGCTAAATTATTTAAGAACTGGGAAGTGGGAATGTTTTCTAAACTGTGATCAGTTATAAACCAACTATTTCTTTCCTTAATTAAAAATACAAAATATTAAGCAATTATAACAAAAAGTATACCAAAATGTTCAGGGATAATTGAAATTTTTATTTCTGTATTAAAGAATAGCCATAAGTTATTTACCTTGATTATAAATAGCGAGTAAACGGACGAACACGCGTTTCGAGTACACATAAAATGCATGATTCCTAACAGTGCTATGAATGAAAGCATTGATTCAATTGTTAACTCGCTATTTATAATCAAGGTAAATAACTTATGGCTATTCTTTAATACAGAAATAAAAATTTCATTATCCCTGAACATTTTGGTATACTTTTTGTTAAAATTGCTTGATATTTTTAATTAAGGAAAGAAATAGTTGGTTCATACCTGATCACAGTTTATTTAATTTAAATATTAAATGCCACTTATTATTGCTTAATATATCGTATAATAATTATTAATTAATATGTATTAGTGTAAATATTTAGTGAACTAATTTAGAAATATTGTAAATAAATATAATAAATTATGTTTTGTTTATGTTTACATTTAAATATCAATTGTGAAATTGTGAAAAAATCACGAAAACGACTCATTAATTCATTAATTTAATTAATTATTTAAATATCAAAATTTTAAAGTATCTATATTTAAGTATCATATACATAAAATAAAGTACAGTACTAATGTACTAATACCATACATTTGATGCACTATTTTAGTACCATACAAATGTAATAATTATGAACGAATTAAATAAATTAGCAAATTGAATGATATTCTTAGTGAGAATAGCTGTGTGTGTCTGTGAGAGAGAGAGAGAGGCTTTTGATATGCACGTAGATGTGATGTGTAAAGACATGCAAATTAGATGTCCAAGAATTAAGGATTAATTGTGCATAATATTATTTGTTTACCCATTTGCTATATTACACAATTATGAAATCAATTTCAATAATTGTTTTAAACGATATGAATCCTTGAGAATATTTTTTTGAAATGTTAGTCAAATGAGAAGTTTAAAGAATTAAAATAATTTAGGATAATAAGTACTTTACATTAAAAATATATTTTCAAAAAATGTGTAGAAAAATATTTTTAGTTCTTATAACTACATGTATAATTTAATGCTATAATATCGGGTATTTACAACAAATATACGTGGATACAAATAAAGGTTTTTACTTGAAACTAGAAATGCTTTAATTAGCATTTTATAACTTTTTCGCAAAACTTTTATACATTATTACAATGTATTACAAAAAATTATGGAAATCATTCACTAAACAATCAATGATCAATGTCATGAATTAAATTATTGAACAATCTCTACATTTCTCAAATTGTTAAAAATCACAAAACAAATTAAGCCTTAAATTTATAAATTTAATTTATTTTATCTATCATAATTTGCAACTTATTAGCACTTTTATGTTTTTTATATTCAATATAAAAATATGAAAAATTATTAAAAATTGTAATTTTTAAAGCATAACTCTAATAATTAATAACTAATAATCAATGTAAATAAAATTTATTTGACGTCACATTGTTTTAAGATGTTTAAGAGGTCAGATTATAAACTATATTTTAAAATACAATATGTTTTCAATATTGAAAAAGTGTAAAAACCGGTATATACAACATATTATGGTACTGTATATTATATACCATTAGATGCTTTCAATTTTGATGCAAAATTAAAAACCTGATAACAACATAATAGATTCTTCATTATGATTTAACACAAAAATTACAATTATTTGTTTTAAACATTTACTTCAAAATACAAGTCTTGATATAAATGTAACACATATTTAAGCATTATTTTTAGAAATATTAGTCTACCCTGTTTATCACGCTTGTCAGGTATTTCTATTACGTATAACCGGTGTTTAGCAAATAATATTGATTTTAAAATAAATATTTTTTTCAAACATATTAACATTTCAACTATTATTGAGGGTCAGTAAAAACAATTCATACCTTTAGTATAAGCTTTATATGATTTGGGTGCTAATAAATGTTATATTCCTTGAGACTTATAATTTTATTGATTTGTTAAAGTTTTAAAAATTTTGTTTCACATAAACAATTAAATATATAATCTATTTCATAAATTATCTCACAACACTATTCCCAGTCAATTATATCAGTAGTGTTCAAAAATGATCATAGATTTAAAACTGAGATTATTTTTGCTTAAAATCTTCAACGCATTCGTAGTCATCAACATCCTATTATATGTATCAAGAACAACTGCTAAGCTCCATACTGGTCAATTCAGAAATGAGCAAGTTGATTGGGAATACCTTCTCAATTTGCTTGAATCAATGTTTGTCGCAGTTTTACTCAACTATTACTTCAACTTTTTGGCGACGATTCAGATGAAGACACGTATTCTGAAGGCTGCGATCGACAGCAAGAGTGACTTAAGACAAGAGATTGCTATGGAGGCTGTGAAGCTATAAACTGTACCTGCACATAAGGACTGACCACTTTATTATACCAATTTTGTTAGCACACCCCCATAAACCTTAACCCGTTAATTGTCTCTTACAAGATAAAATTTATGTTACATTATAATAACTACCGGTAAACAAAGCAAGAGACAAATGTCAGTAAATTATAAAATGCATTTTGTTTTTACAACACATATATTTTATGTTAAATATCAAATTAATATTTAATTTTTAACATTTTTAAATTATTTAACTTATAATATTTCATGTTAAATGAATTTATTGTTTTAATTATGACATATATTATTAATTATAAAAAATTGCTAAAATATTTAGCTGTACGTATTTCACATACTATAATCATTTTTTAATTAAAATATTTTAAAATAATATTTATTTTGTATTCAAAAGCTAAATACTAAAACTTATTAATTTAAAACTCTACGAATTACACTTTATTTGCAATAAATATAAAATTCAAAATACAGACTCTTTATTCATATTATTGCTTATCTTATCCTAAATGATAGCCGACTTATAAAAGAAAATTTTGTTTATGAGTCCTATTTTAATGCCTTTAATTATATATTAATTTTCAAATTATATAAACAATATATATGATAAAAATACTTTCTCACCATTTTTAGTGCATCAACATAAATATATTTGTTCGCAAACAGTCAATACATGTATTAAATGTTTTCCTAGACACAATGAAAATAATACTTATTTTGCTATTTTGTGTCTATTATTGCAATTGTGCCCCTACTGATGCTACCG